AGGAATGCAACTTCACATGGGATGGTGCTGTTGCATGTCCAAGACCTCCGTGTACATATGTATCAGGCACACACGTGGCCAAGATGCAGGATGGCTGAGGTTGAGGGTGGGTTGCTGCATGAGGCTCCTGCTGGGGGTCTCACTTTCTCTCCTTCTCTCCCAGAAGAAATAAACAAAATTTTTAAAAATTGCCTACCTTTATTTTTTTAATTTTACCTTAATTATACATCGACATTAAATGACAAAAAATTTAAGCATCATTGAAATACACCAAATAAATAACTACATCACCAACTATACCTTAACTGCATGCCTCTCCTCACATGTAAAATGTGAAACAATAAAATATATACTTTTCAGTCATTTTTCTACCCATTTCTACAAAAATGTATGGGTGTATATATATATACACACACACACACACATATATAAATATATATATATATGAATATAATGTATGTGTGTATATATATATATATTAATCTGTTTCCTTACTTTTTCACTTCATTTTTTCAAAGATCTTTAAAAACAATATATATTATTTTTCTTAACAGTTGCTTAGTATTCTATAGTATAGACATTCCATAATTTATTATATTTAAGACACTTCTAATTTTTTATTTTTATAGGCAAATAACAAATAAGACTCTGGTGTACAATCTTGTATTTCTTTAAATATTCTGAAAGAATTTTTGTAGACTACATTTCTATAATTAAAATTACTTGTTTAAGTGATATGTACATTTTAAATTCAGATGCCTTCTGCTAAATTTTCCTTTCAAAAGGACTAGTTGACATTTCACCAATGGTAGATAAAACAGTATATTTTTTTGTATTTTAAACTGCTCAAGAGATTTATCAGTCTCTGAGACCAGCAGTTAGCGTAATGGCTATGTCCCTGGACTCCCATGTAGCCGACTGCGGTTGGAGTCCCAGACCCAGTGGCTTAAACTCACGTCGGGCACGTGTGCGTGCGGGCCCAAGATCCCGAGAGGAGAATGGAGGAGAAGGAATTGTAGCGTGGACATCTCCCCTGGGGGGTGATTTCTCGCTTTCTGTCTCTCTGTCTCTGTCTCTCTGGCGAGCACACGTGCCCTATAGCAAAAACCTCTCCAAAAAAAGAAATTTATCAGTCTCTTAAAATTTCGTTATTATATGTAAACAGACAGTCTTGTTTTAATTTGGATATCTCTGATTATTAGAAAGTTTGACTATTTTAAAATGGAGGTATTGACTATTTGTATTTACTTTTCTCAATTGCTTAATCATTTTCATCTGATTTTCTATGGAGTTGCTTTTATTTTTCTTATTGATTCCTTTTATTTGGGAGGGGGGAGATTATTGCTATCAGGTGTGTGCACTCACCAGAGAGATAGAGACTGAGAGACAGAAAGCAAATAATCACCCCCTCAGGGGGATGGCCACGCTACTGATCCATTTTCTTTTTCTTTCTTTCTTTCTTTTTTTCTTTCTTTCTTTCTTTCTTTCTTCCTTCCTTCCTTCCTTCCTTCCTTCCTTCCTTCCTTCCTTCCTTCCTTCCTTTCTTTCTTTCTTTCTTTCTTTCTTTCTTTCTTTCTTTTCTTTCTTTCTTTTTCTTTCTTTTTGCCATAGGGCATATGCGCTTACTGAGAGAAAAAGAGAGAGGGACAGTGAAAAGCTACTCCTTGGAGGGATGTGCTTGCCACAATCCTTTTTCCCATGCTTCTCTATGACTTTGGGCACATGTGCTCAGCATGATTTTCCAGCCACTGGGTCTGGTACTTGAACCTTGGTTGAATATGTGGGAATCACCTTAGCCACCACACCACCGCTTGCTGGCCCCATCATTTATCTTTTGTTCAGAAGGTTTTTGTTTGTTTTACTGTGGTCAAACACATCAACCTATTCCTTCTCATACTCTGGGCTTCGTATCTTATTGCAGAATACTTTTTATACCCTAAGGTTACTTTCTTTTAATAACTTTTATAAACTCTTTAATTCTAGTTAAGATTTTGTATAATGAAATAAGGTCTAATTTTCCAAATGAATAACCAACCATCTTCATCAATGGTTAATTGGTTCCGTTCTATCCCCTCCAATTCAAAGGGCTGCCTTTGTCATAAATGAAACTCTCAATTATATAGGTCTAGTTCTTCTTGGTTTAATATATTCCACTGAATTCTTTCTTAAGAACCATAGTTTTAATTGCTATTCCCTTAGATTAAGTGTAGAAATTTGGTGGAGAAATTACTCTTCCCACCACACTTTTTTTCTTTTCAAAATTCTTCATAATTTTTACATAATGTCCTTCCTATATGAGTTTAGAATCAGCTCATCACATATCTTTTAAAAATTCTTACTGGGGTTTGCTTGGGATTTGTATCAGACCCACACCTCTAAAACCCCTACTCTCTTCATTCCAGACACTGCTGGTTCATTTTCTAAAAGGAAGCTACCTGTCTGTAAGTCCTGGTCTCAGATTTCACTTCTCAGGAAAGCAGTCCCCAGCTCAAGATATGAGTGCATTGATTATTGAATGAACAATTAATTTTGGAAGATTGGACATATTAGCATTTTTGAGTCTTTCTGTCTCTGAGGACTCTTTATTTTGTCTCCTTTATAAGCTTTTACAGTATTATTATTGTAATCTTTGTGTATTTTCTGTTAACCTTGTGTCTAGATGTTACATGCTTTTAATTGTTATTGATTGTAATTTTCACCAAATATTTCCTTCTTGTTACTGGTTAAAAATGCTATTTTGTATGTTTATCTTTTATCCAACTACCTTCAAGTTTATTTCCACATAAGTTACTCCGATTTGTTTGATATGCAAGCATACAGCTAAAGATAGTGGCTTTGCTTCTTTTATTATCAGACTATTATCTACTGATTTAACTTCATTTTTATGTTTAGTGGCTAGGACTTCAATGATCATCTTGCGTAGTTTCTTGACTTCAAATAAAATATTTCTCATTTTATATCATTCATTTGGCTTTATTTTATTTATTTTTTAAAGATTTTGACTTAGGGTGTGGACACTCGCCGGACAGAGATCATGAGAGGTAAAGTGAGAAATCACCTCCCAGATACATGGCCACACTGCAATCCCTTCTGTTCTAATGTCCTCCTGGGATTCTGGCCATGCACGCACATGCACCCAGTGTGATTTTCAAGCCGAATGATGCAAGACTCAAACTGCGGTCTGTTGTGGAAATACAGACACCGTAGCCACTATATCACCAGCTGGCCCCTAATTTGGCTTTCTTAATTCTCTCATTGGGTTAAGAAGTTTTCTTCTTTTCTTAGTTGACTATGGCTTTTAAAAAATCATGAATGGGGGACAGCAGGTGGCATCATGGTTAAGGCACTGGACTCCCACATATCCTACCATGATTTGAGTCCCAGACAAGGTGACTTGAAAATCACACTGTGTGCGTGTGAGCCCAGAACCTCGAGAGGAGAATGGAGGCTCACATACATACAGTGGGATTTTCAAGTCACCTCACCTTTCATGATCTAGTTCTGGCTGAGGCTCAAGTGGATCACAACAAGGAGTGCCTGTCTCTCTGTCTCTCTCTGTCTCTCTCGTTTATGAAACATATCAATAAAGAGGCATTTTCAAAAATGAAAAACAAGTAGTGCTTATATCATATCTTTGGGGGGTTTTTTTTGGAGAGGTTTTTGCTATAGGACACGTGTGCTCACCAGAAAGACAGAGAGAGACAAAGAGACAGAAAGCAAGAATCACCCCCAGGGAGGATTGTTACACTGCAATCCCCTCTCTTCCATTCTCCTCTTGGGATCTTGGGCATGCACGCACATGCGCCCAGTGTGAGTTTAAGCCACCGGGTCCAGGACTCAAACCATAATTGACTACATGGGAATTGAATGACATAGCCATTATGCCAACTGCTGGTCTCACCTATATCATATCTTTAAGGATTAGATGGATCAAGTGGGTGGCCACTGGGAGGTCCCGGCTTCCCTTTGACTTATAAGGAATGGACACTGCACAACCATAGCAGACACAGCCCACCCATACTGGCCTCGATTCCTCCCTTGGGAGCTGATAGATATCAAACACAAAACTGAACTCAAAACACAAAGCAACCAAGCATTAAAGTTTCATGGAGTTGCTTTCTTCTTAGACTCATTCCAGTCCCTCAAGCTCAGGGACAAGTTGGTTTTCTTTCTATTGCTTAGAGGAAAACAAAAACAAAAACAAAAACAAAAAAAAACCCAGGCCACCCTCACTGTGCCCAATAGCAGGCATTCTACAGTCGTGTCTCTCCAAAATAACCTCCCCAGAATCACAATTAGTTAATATCCCCTCCCAAAGAGGCAGATCAAAATGAAGCTATATTTCTCTGACAGAAGCTAACAAAACATGGAATGTTCTGAGGAGGGAGAAGGAAGAAAAACAACAGAATAAATTAAACTTGGAGTTTCAGTGTTGACCTTGAATATTCCGTCTGTTTTCAGAACTTGAGTGGGGGGGGTCAAGCAACGTCTGTTTCCAATTAATTTTATTCTTTATCGTCTTTCTTAAAGGAAAATATGCCTTTAGAATCAAAATCTTCTCTGTATTTAAAAAAGTAAATAAACAAAAAAGATCAGAGAAGTACTACCATTTAAAAGTTTTCTTTCCTTTTGGGTTTTTTTTTTTTTTTTTTGGTCACGGAGAACTATGTAAATTATCACAAAAAATAGAAAACTCTAAACATCTTCCATTGTTTCATAGCATAATTTTATTCTTCAGAAAAGTTACAAAACTAGTAATTTTGTGCTTAGAAACTTGGTGAAGCAAGCAGATAAATATGTTTCATTTGCTCTGAAAGCATTTGGTTTTTTAATTTAATTTTTGAATTGTTACTTAAGTCAACATGTTAAAATCAGAAGATCTAAAGTCTATAAAATTCTTATTTTAATTTGAAGCCTATGAAGATCTGACAATATTTTAACCCCCAGAAAAGTACTACTACTGCAGCTTCCCTTTAGAGAGATATACCTAATTCACCAAGATCTCTGTCTTCTTAGGTCTTGGAGAAAGTTGCATGACAATTCTACTTAGGGTAGAATTAAGAAGAAAGTGATATTCAGATTGCTTTTGAAGTAGAAAAAATAAAGCTACATTGTGAAGTCTGATGATCTCAAAATAAGTGATATGTTCTG